AATTAAGTTCTTTGTCAAACAAATCGGAAATCGGGAAACAAACTGTTGGACAATAAGTAAGACATTGTTCCATGTATTTGTCCGACTGATATCTAGAACAGAGGATTATGTGATCACTTATCTTAAATGGCGTACCATCATCTTCTTAGTTCCGAGAAACCTTGAAAAGAGCTACGATTGTCGATCGGTTCCTGAAGTCATACTTGCAGTAATAGTTATTAGACTTATCCAAGTGGGAGACTATTGGATAAGGTGTCTAAGTCCATAACTATTTTTGGTATGTACTTGACCCGATCCGGCATGGTCCATTTGGGTTGCATGGCACCATGCAATTGGATAGACTAAATGAGAGAAATAACACTTGGAGATTATTAATATATTATAAGTTCTAATATATTAATAATATTATTTGATTAGTTTGATCAATAATTAATTTAGAATTAATTAAGTGGGTCAAAAGAGAACTAATTAAATATATGGGTTGATTATGTAAATCATCCATATCTTGTATAGTGGGCTAAGAGGCTCCATGGATTATCAAGTTGGGTTCTACCCATAGGATGCTCCATGGATGCTCCATGGGAGTTACAAACCCATGGGTCATGGAAATGAAGAGTCATGACACATTAGGGTTTACATGGTGTAACCCTAGATGTGTCAACACTATATAAGAATCATATTCTCCACCAAAATCGGCTACACTAAGGAAACAAGAGGGCTTGGTCGATTTCAAGAAGTGTTTGTTCTCTCATAAGTTTTTCCAAGAGCATTTGGTGTTGTGTGAAGCATTTGAGGCATCACACTTGGGGTGCTAGGCTCACAAGGTTTCAAGGAACACAAGCAACAACAAGGTAAGTTATTCTATCTATCATTCAAGTTAAAATTGTTCCCCATGTATGCTAGATAGGAATATAGCCTTGGAATTCAACTTTGCATGATAATTAGACAAACATAGATCCAAGGTTATTAGGGTTGCATGTACACTTAGGAAGTGTTAGAATGCTCAAAACCCATCAGTTATGAGCATTACGAGTTCATGGTGATGACTTTTTGGCTGACCAACGCATCGGTGGTGTTCATGGATCTCATGAACTGGGTGTGTAGGTCTATGTTGGATTGGTATGTGATTGTCTTCATCGATGACATCTTGGTCCATTCCAAGACCAAAGAGCAACAAGAGGTGCATTTTCGGAAGATTATGGGCGTTTTGAGTATGGGTAGGCTATACGTCAAGTTCTCCAAGTGTGATTTCTTGTTATGCGAGGTTCACTTTCTAGGACACCTTGTCAACCAGAATGGAATCTTGGTTAATCTAGCTAAGATAGAGGTGGTGATGCGGTGAGAAGTGTCGAAGTGTCTATCTGAGATTTAGAGCTTCCTCGGTTTGGAGGGATATTATCGGAGATTCATTCGTGAATTTTCCAAGATTGTTGTTCCCCTCACTATGTTTACAATGTAGGATGTTGTGTTCCGTTGGGGGCCTGATCAGTAGCCATCATTCGAGACTCTTCGCTAAAGACTATGTGAGGCACCAATGCTCTCCCTCCCTGAGGGAGTTAAGAATTTTGTGCTCTACTACGATGCATCCATCGCAGGGTTGGGTGCTGTTTTGAGTCAAAGGGGGAACATGATTGCATACGCTTTTAGGTAGATGAAGCCTTATGAAGCGAATTATCCCACTCATGATTTGGAATTAAGGGCGTGGTTTTCGCTCTCAAGATTTGGTGTAACTATCTTTATGGTGTTTGGTGTACCATTTACACTGACCATAAGAGCCTGAGATATCTTATGGATTAGTGTATCTTGAACATGGGGCATAGGAGGTGGTTGGATGTAGTGAAAGATTATGATTGTGAGGTTTTGTATCATTCATGCAAAGCCAATATGGTGGCCGACGCCTTGAGCTAGAGGGAGGTCGGTACCCCGAATCAAGATGTGTATATGAGGATGACTGTGATTACCCTAGTGTTGAAAATGATCAAAGAAGCACAGTCAGAGGCCATAATGGAAGAAAATCAGAAAAGTGAGCGGGTGATTGTCAGATTTCAATTTTTGATATTGACAACAAGGGGATTTTGACTCTTCACGGGTGGGTTTGGGTGCCTTATGCGGGTGGGGCTCAATAGTTATTAATGGAGGAGGCCCACAAGTCAATACTTTCTGTTCATCCAGGGGCTACTAAGATGTATCTTGACCTGAAGCATAGTTATTGATGTCCATGTATGAAGAGGAATATGGCTTGGTTTGTAGAGCGATGTTTGACCTACTGGAAGGTCAAGGACAAGCTCCAACACAGTCACAGCAAGTTGCAGCCCTTAGAGACTCCACTATGGAAGTGGGAGCAGATCACCATGGCTTTTATTACAAATTTTCCGAATAATGCGAGGGGTTTTGATGCTATCTAACTGATAGTGGATCGATTGACAAAGAGTGATCACTTCCTAGCCATAAGCGAGGGCTCTTCTACAGAGAAGCTTGCGGAGATTTATGTCTGACAGGTGGTGGCTCGACATGGGGGTGCCAACTTCGATTCTGTCAGATCGGGATCTTCGTTTCACTTCCAGGTTTTGGAAGAAGTTTCACAAGGAGTTGGGTACCCGGTTATATTTCAGTACTGCATATCATCTATAGACGGACGGGCATTAAGCAAACTATTCAAATGCTCGAGGATACGTTGCGTGCATGCATCATTGATATTGGTGGGAGCTGGGACTCCTATATCCTATTGACGAAGTTTTATTATAACAACACCCATCACACCAGCATTGGCATGCCTCCTTTTGAGCTTATGTATGGGAGGAGGTGTTGGACTCCTATTTGCTGGCACAAGGTCAAACAGAGAGTCATGGGGAGCATGGAGGCAGTGTTCAAGACGATAGATCTTATCCAACAAGTTAGATAGAGATTACTGATGGACCAGAGCCGAAAGAAGATTTATGAGGATCGGAGACGCTCTGAGCTAGAGTTTCAAGTGGGAGATTTGGTGCTTCTGAAAGTATCACCATGGAAGGGTGTTATCCAATTCAGGAAAACGGGCAAGCTAGGCTCCAGGTTTATTGGCCCTTTCAGAGTATTGGCATGTGTGGGCAAGGTAGCTTACCGGAGGAGTTGAGGAAGATTCATGATACATTCCATGTTTCCAAGTTAAGGAAGTTTATAGATGACGAGACAACTATGGTTCCTTTGGAGGACATTTCATTAGATGATCACCTGAATTACATCGATAGGCATGTGGAAATTCTAGATAGGAGAGTGAAGACTTTAAGGAACAAACAAGTGACCTTGGTCAAAGTTCAGTGGAAACATCGTAAAGGATCAGAGTGGACTTGGGAGCCCGAGACTGAGATGCGCAAGCACTACCCTAATCTATTATCTGAGGCTAACTTCAAGGGTGAAGTTTGGTTCTAGTAGGGGGAGAATTATAACATATGATTTTTTAGGTATTTCCATTTTAGCCCTTAGCCTAATTAAAGTTTTCACTATCGGTCCCTTGTTTTTAAAATTTTGCACTTCATCCCGTACACGGGGCGTACGTGATGGTACGCCCAGCGTACTCGTGAGAGACATGGAATCGCGGGATGCATGTTAGTACACAAGGCGTACATATGGTACACGAGGCGTACTAGCTCAGCTCCAAAACCCTAGATTTAAGGGTTTGCCCCTACTTAATCCACCTTATGCCTCCCTTGGACACTCCTTATTAGCCTCCACCCCTTACAAACCCTAATCTCAAGCCTAAGCCTTATGTGTGAAGATTTTGAAGCTTTGTTAGTGATTTTGGTTCTCTTATGTTGGAGAAGAAGACTATTAAATAAGGTGATGTTGCTTGCAGGCTTTTCGATCCAGAAACTGCTCGCTTTGTGCTTATTTTGTAGGTATAAAGTTTATACCTTGATGTTTTTCTTTGTAGATCTCCAAAGATAAGTTTTATGTGCCTTTTGTCCCAAACGTTGTACCTTTGTGAGTATGGAGTACTCCATAGCATATTAGTTGTCCTTTCATGTGTTTTAGGTCATGTAGATTCATAAAAATGGCTGATTGATGGTCCTTTTCCAACCATACAAGAGTTTGTTGTTGTTGAGTATGGATTAAGTAAATGTTTAAGCTCTTTTCATCCATGTAAATGCTTAAACTTATGGACTTTATGGATTTAGATGTTCTTTGGAGGTCTGATCTATGTTTGGAATTGCGTGTCTTAATGATTAAGACATTTTGGAGTGATTTTTGGGATCACGCGAAGTACGCCTCATGTACTTCTGGCTACAGCCAACATAGCCAGGCCAGACCCAAACTCACTGGATCCCTCAAATACGCCGCACGTAGGAGAAGTGTACGCCTAGCATACATGCTGGGCAGTTGACTTTTGTGGACCTTTAACATTTGTTCAAGATTTAGGGTTTTGGACCATGGAAGGGGGAAAATAGACTTTTTGCCCTTAAAGGGCATAGTTGTGGGATTTGGACCTGTGATTTGAGTTATGGACCTTAATTGTAATTAGGGTTAATTATTGTGTTATTAGGCGGAGTCTAGTTCTGACAAATCGGGTGTGAGATTTATCTGTTATTAGTATCAGGTGAGTCTCCTCACTTATTTTTACCTGTATAGTAGAATATTTGTATTTGTGATGACTTATTCGGTGTAACTGTTAATACTATTTTATGTTGTTTATGTATGACTATGACTGCGGATAGTTTATGGGGTTGCTAATAACCCACAAGGCGTGCTGTTTGCCCACTGGGACTGCTGAGAGTCCCCAAGGTTGCTGATAACTCATAGTTGTTTATTTATGCTATCTTGTATGTCGTATCTTAGGCAACTCACTAAGATTCGTGCTTATAACTGTTGATTATATGTGTTTCAGGTACTTCTGAGGATCTCTGGAAGCTGAAGGTTTGATTGTACACACCCACAAGGAGATTTGTTATTGGGCATTTTATGGCACTCTGATATTTTGTGATGATGAATTTTATTTTACACCTATGTTTTTTCAAATACTTGGTTTATGAACAGTATGCTTGATTTGGAGCACCACCAACAAACTGCCTGAGAAACCATGTCATATCGATTGTCATGGTTGTTGTTTCCGTAGAACCACCACCACATGAAACTTCAACCTATTCCAACAGAAGTCGCCCTAATAATAGGCCCACATATAGGCAGCACAATAAATCCTCATGTGGTTCCTCCGCAACATGAACAGATGTGGTTTTGGCGTACCTCTGTCAACTCGATCGACATGGAACTCTCACTCACTATGAAATTCTCAACCTAATCAACTGCAAAATTTGACCTATTCGAGCATACCACCATTTTCGTATCCCACCAACCATCGATTTTCCTCTCATTAGGATAGATATCCAATGCCAACCTAGTCCACACCTCACGGTCCACCTACACAATGCAAGTCGAGCCCATTAGCATACAAAGCTAATCTCATTTCCTTTAACCCACTTGAACCAACTCAGCTTGGTGAACCTCTTCAGTCGATGACCATAGAACCGGTTGATGGTTAATGGTGCATTCACTCTTCGTTATCGGTTCATGGATCGGGTGCTTCTACCGTTCCTACAACCACACGTAACACTACTAGAAAAACAGCCTTTTACGATGTTCATTGCGCGTCGTAAAACGCTCAGATGACGCACAAATGCGCGTCAAGGAAGGCCCTGTCATAAAGAGACACGACGCGCATTTACGACGCGCAATTACGACGCGCGTTTAGGACATGCAATGCGTATCAAGGAAGGCCCTGTCATAAAGGAAGACGACACACATTTGCGTGTCGCAACCTTATGACGTGCGTGTTAATGACACACAACGCGTATCAAGAAAGGCCATGTCATAAATGAAGATCACACACATTTTTGCGTATCATAATTTTAAATGTTTAAAAAGAATATTATTTATAGATTTACTTATTTTCAAGTTAAATTTGTATTTAATGTTTCTGAATAGAAAATAAAATATCATATACAAAAAATAGAATCCATTGCATAAATTTAATGTCATACAATTCTATTTCTTACAATATACAAATTTCCATCTAATCTACTATGTACATCAAATTCCAACTAAGTAATATTGCATCTTGCCTTTTATAATTCTTTAAGACTAATGCTCCAAACAGCTGATTATATGTATAAGCAGTTGTGCATTGGCTGCATCCCGGTTGCTGATATCCTTCCACATATCTTTGCACCACATAAAACTAGATCATACCTTTGCACCACATAAAACTAGAAGATGGAGAGAGCTAGACTCCATATCCTTAACAACCCCACCTAAGGAGATGGAGTGATTCTTTTCATTTTGATCCCATTCATCCAAATAAGCGAAATCAATAACAAAATGAAAATGAAAATGAAGTGAATTGACATTCTAACTTGTTTCTCGAGGATAGAGTGCAACTTTAAGTCCTGATTCAGCTTTTGTATCTGTAATCTTTTGGATATGAATGGATGCCACATCTTTGAGATAGTCACCCATGCGTGTCTGAAAGAAATTGTAATTATTTAAGATAAAAGGTACATAAATTAGCACTATAACTCTAAATAAACAAACCTGTGTCCCTGTAGCTCGGGACATTTTTTCTTGCTCCTGAAGATCCATTCGAAAAATATTTGTTTAATAATATATTAACTCTTAACATATTAAATAAAAACAATAAAAAAAATAAAATTAAATAGACCATACCAATTTCCCTGAAATGACACAAAGTGATTCAGTGTCTACTGCCATGCTTTCCCTGCAAATTTAATCTCAACAAGTAGGTTTGGTTTGGATATATCTCTTTTTCCGTGAATCTGTATAGTATAACTGTTCTGAAGTGTTTTTTCTTGTTTACTTAATACCTTAATTGGTTTCTGCAATCCCAGAATTGGTGCTTTCTGTCTCTGAATTTAATCTGCTGCTAGTGCTAGATGATGATGTCCAACAGCCTGAGCCTGAGAATAAAAACAATAGTCTATTCTTCATATTCATTAATTATCTTTTGAAAGGCGATAACCTGCCTATTTGTAGTAATACTTACTATAGGTAGAGGTGTTTGGCTTTGGAAAGATCATTTTCAGGTATTCAACTTGTAGGCTGCATCTATTACACTGTGCAGGAGTAGACTAGACTAAACTGATCAAACTTTCTATGACTTGACTAGACTTTGACCGATGTGTTATTTCATTTCTTCCCATTAAACCATTCTACTTTCAATTTCTTTCTTTTTATTCATTGTACTTTAAAAATAAAATGCTATAATAAATAAATTAATGAAAGTACAATGCTATTTCTTGAAGGCTGCAACAGCTATTGCTGCATCTGACCTGGCACCTACTCATCCAATTAGACTTGGTTTGGCTTTGAATTTCTCAGTTTTCTACTATGAGATATTAAACTCTCCTAAAAGGTTTAATTAATCATGATGTCATTACTCTTTACCAATTTCTAAAATACAATCAATATTTCTTTTTGTATTTAAAAAATTATTTTTAAACCAATCAGGGCATCCCATACCTTCAAAAATTCGTCGATTTTTGCAACTATGTTGTGCTGTTCAACACTACTCTGCTTTCCATGCCAGGTGAACAATGAAGAACCAGATTGAAGAAGAAAGCATTCATACGTATTCAATGAGGTTGCCACCTGAAACAAATAAATTTCATTAGCCCTAATTTTAACAATTCCAAGGAATAACTTAGAAGGGGCTCATAATCATACGGCATCTACTTGAACGGCTTTACTATTATGGGGTGAAGTGCCAGATATCTGAATTAGGGCTACACCATCTAAAGTGTAGGTTTCATCATTCAATTCTTTTTCTACAATGGAGTTCTTGTATCCAGAGCTCAATCCACCCTAATAACACAACATTTTCCATCTGAATCTAATATCACAGCAAAATATTTGAAAAAACTAAAAATGTGATGCAAGTACCTACCTTTAACACAACCATAGGCTGAAAGATGGCGACAAACTGTGGAGGCTCTTTCCCTTGAAATACACGACCCTGAACTGGTCTTCCCTTGAGTGAATTGAACATTGTAGTAGCCAATCGAGCAGCAATGTTACCTCGATGCTATCTTTGCCAATCCAACAACACAAATAGTAATCTTCTTTCTTTTCATTAGAATGGTAAGTGTAAAGAACAATGTAGCAATCTCCACTGTAGAATTTACCATTATCTTCTTTGGGTACTGTGGTTTTAGCATTGCCATTAATCCTCCACACCTCAATTTTCCCATTTTCTTCAAGCAAAGGTTGGACTTCTTCAGTTGCAGTAGAACTTTTATCCAACCCTTTGAGCCCAACTCCTTATTGCTTTAACAAAGCTAGTAATATACAAAAATAACAGTGAAAACTCCATCCCATTTGTTTTCATTCTCTTTCCATAAATGATACACCAGTAAAAAAGCAGCAGTCGTTGACCTGGCCATCAAACCCATGATTTGACTGCATCCCAGTAGCTGATATCCCTTCCACATATCCCTGATATAATACCTGTCTTCTTGTTTTAACTCCAATTTGTTGTTCAAGGTATTCCTGCATAGATACATGGGGTGGGGTTCAAACTGTATGTAGGATTAGATAATGGATAATAGATAATGGATAATATAAGCATCATCATCATATGATATGGTATAAAAGAATGAAACCTAAGCTGTGTGTAATGAGTGTCCAGATCAACATCTGCCCTTTGCTCTGGAGTTTTGGCCATCAAGAAACGCATTGCAATGGATAAGGTTTGACGATCAAACTGCATCAACCACTTTCACCATAGTAGATGATGATATCAATAATCAGTTAAATATATATATACATTATATTATTTTATTAAAAACAAAAAGAAAAAAGGTGATCTAGGAAGGAGTGGCATGAATCAATATTTTATTTGGTTATGTTATGCTATTGCCACCACCTCTGCTGATTGGTCATGATGTAAACAATAAAAAAAAACATACATACATATTTTTTTGTCTTTTTCCATATTGTTGTGCTTAATCTGTATAGGAACATATAGGAAAAACCCTTTCTATTAATTAGATACAACTTTGCTGAAAGTAGATCACATAGGTGTATGGATTCAGAATATTCCAATGGCATATTTGATTTTGTCATTGTAAAACTGTACAACTGGTGTTTTGTTTTACCTATACTTGTTTTTGTCATTGTAAAACTGTACAGCCGGTCAGTGATGACCCAACTGCCAAAAGCTAATAAAAATTAATGAATAAATTTTATGCTTTCTAAATGAGTAGATTAAGTGCCTCATCACCAGGCCTCAAGAAAGCAAACATGGCACATGTAATGGCATGGGTGCTTGAGAAGAACTGAACTAAAGTTTTTTAAGTAAATTGAGAACCTAAAAAAATGGTGGGAAGAACAAATGAATGATTCAAAATGGAAAACCTGTTAACAAACAATTGTTGATTCAACACCAAAATTTTTTACAAAATCTTGGTCTAGGGTTTCTCTGCCACCTACTTCTTGTCTACAAAATCTTGGTCTAGAAAAATTTAGCTGCGAAAACAAAAGGATTTAGCAAGATAGGGTTCTGGTAGAAGAATGAAAACATAGGGAAAAAAATCAACCGAAACACACCTTAATAAGACATAGGGCTTGTAAATTAAAGTAATAGAAGAAGTAATCCTAAGATCGTCGGACCTGATGTTGCCGGCAAGGGGAGAGGAGGTGAGATCTTGTAGTGATAGTACCTGAAGGTTTCTAGTTCGAATGATTTGGGCTCTGTGGAACCTTGATGCGAGGCCAATCATAAAGCATCCTAGTGCTTCGTCGCAGTGGAAGGTGCGTTATGAGTGTCGATTCGCTTAGGTGGCGAAGCAGCAGTAGTGGTGAAAGTTAAAACCCTAAGTCGTCGGTTAATAGAGAACAACATTACGTGATTCCTTCTGCGGACATTTACCCCAATTTCCCCTTTCGTCTCTCACTCTAGAAACCCTAATCCCTCCGCCACAATGAACACCATTACAGTTTCCACGGTGCCTTGAAAGCCCTAACCTGAATCTCTCGATCAGAAGCTACTGAACTCCACAACCTGCACACACACGCTGACCATGCTAGATCTACCACCGGAAGCTTTTCGAAGATCATACGCGGGATATATTTACAAATTACAGCCGCAAAATTGGAATTCATCAGAGATATCGTGGTATATGACATCGTCGGTAATTGACGATGTCATGGAAGAGGATGAGGGGTGTAGGGTTGGGGTTTGTTGTTGTTGGAGTTATTTGAAGAAGCGTATCTAGAAGGAAGCAGGTCAAGGAATAGTGCAAGAAAACTGTTGGCGAGTATTCTCAAGAACAGCAGAGAGATGAAGAAGGTGAAATTACAGCAATGATGAAGTAGATGAATGGAAATCAGAAGCCCTTTTTCTTGATTGAGATGATGAAGTCGAGAGATGGAGATGAAATCGTAACCTTCGATCTTTGATTGAGAAGTTGCACAACAGTGTGAGGAGAATGAAAGATGCGTGAAAATGCTTAGGGCAGGGAGGGTAGCGGGCTTTTCTAATTTTTTGGCTTTTCTTTTCCCGCTTGTAACTAAGGAACGCGCGTTCATTAAAATTATAAAGCGACACATATAGAGGGCGCGCATTTAAGGTACAACGCCCTCTGTGTTTTTAATTTTTTTTCTTTTGACACTAATTTAAAGGCACGCAATAATGCGTCACCTAAATCCTTAAATTTTCTGAAGAGATGACACTTTTTTAATGTCACTCTCGTTTGCGTAACATAAATTAATGAGTGTTGTAATTTGCGTGTCGTAAAAGGCTATTTTTCTAGTAGTGTAACCTACATCAAAACAACATTCTTTACACACCAAACATCCAAATTGGTTTACTATGAAGGATTACGAGAGTGGTCTAATGTTTTTCCTCCATAATAGCTCGAGCCTCCTAAATCCTCTTACTTGTCTAATCACTAAATCCACCATTTTTAACTCCAGTGCTCAAAACTTTTATCATTATCAATTAGGACATCCTGGTCTTTTTGTTTTCGATTTTATTAGTTTGAATAAGATTATTCCATGTACTAAACGTAGTAGATCTTCGTTTTGTAATTTTTGTCATCTTTCAAATCACAAATGATTACCATTTTCCGATGCTACTTCTACTACTGTTTTACACTTTGATATTGTTCATTGTTACTTATGGATATCGCTTGTCCTCAGTTGGACAACAAAGCTGGTTATAAATATTACCTGGTTTTAATAAATGATTTCACCAAATATACTTGGGTTTTTCCTCTGAAATTCAGGTCTGAAACATTTTCTAAATATTCTTAGTTTCATAAATACATCAAAACTTAATTCAATCTCACTATTCAAGCTTTTCAATGTGACTTAGGGTGAATTTGATAACTAAAACTTCATATCTTTTGCTAAAACAAATGATTTACTCTTCTGCTTCTCTTTCCTTTACACTTCCCAACAAAATAGGAAATTCGAGCATATGATTCATAGACTTAACAAGATCATACTTACTCTTCTTACATACACATCTCTCCCACCTCACTTTTGGGTTGAAGCTTTACATACCACATGTTATCTCCACAATATTTTCCCTACCAAACACATAAAATTCTATACTTGTATTATTTCCCTTTATCATTGACAACCTTCGTATGACCACCTTCGGTTTCTTGGTTGTGTGTGTTATCCTAAAACAATCGCAAAATGGAAACACAAGTTGGAACATCGCTCAACTCTTTTTATTTTCCTTTGGTACCCCGTTAATTTTCGCGGGCATCGGTGTAACAACCCGAAATTTGTTCATCGCCAAAACCCGTTCTACCCGGAAAAAGTCGCCGTTATCGGATTCGTTCCGATTTCTCTTTGGAATTTATTTGTATAATTTATATGTTTATTTTATTCTAATGAGTGTCTAAATCACTCAGGAACTTATGTTATTCGCCCAAAATCATTATTTAATAAGTTTTAAAAATGTTCCCGTCGGGTGACGGAAACTCAATCGGGTGCGACCAAAAGCCGCGTTTAGCGTTGGTATCGGGTAGAATTCCACCGCATGCAAATTTTGGGAACTATATCAACATGTTTCAGCCTTCATTTGAAGCTTTTTCCTTCTCTCACTACTCTCTCTCTAACCTCTCTCCAAAATCCAAAGATTTAGTGTCCAAAACTCAATTTTAAGGCTTCAAATCCTTAAGGTAACTCCCTAGCTTTAATCTATAGCATCTTTAGCCTTCAAATTCGAGATTTAAACATGAAATTGGACAATGTATGTGATTTTACGGCCTAAGAAGGTGCTTAGGCCGTAAACACCAAAAATGAAGGGTTTTGAGCCCTTAAACCCCTCCTTGACTAGTTTGGACTTTAGATATGGCTATGGGACTTCAAGATATGGACCCTAAACATGTAAAACATAATTTTTGTGATGTTTGAAGGATTTTACGGCCAAGGAACATTCTTGGGCCGTAAACTCACATAATGAGGGTTTTCATGCCCTTAAACCCTTCCAAATCACCCCTATAGCTTAGATATGAATTATAGGACTTTGATTCTTGCATTTGGACACTTGAAACATTAATTTTGAGGGACTTAGATGAGTTTACGGCCAAGGAGAGTTCTTGGACCGTAAAATCCACAAAACTTGGCATAAATCTCATTCTAAGGTGTTAGAAAGCCATCCAACACCACCAAAAGCCTTGGAATATATCAAGGGACCAACCAAAAATACTTTGAGGGCCTAAAACACAACATTTATGGGGTTTCTAAGGGTTTACGGACAAGACATGTTCTTGGGCCGTAAACTCCAAAATTTTTGGTGTTAGTTAGCAAACTACACACCCCTAAGGCCCTTAGATGAATTTTAGAAGTCCTTTCATGCATGTTCTAGACCTTGAAACACCTTGTAGCACCATGTACTAGAGTTTACGGCCATGAAGGGGTTTCATGGGCCGTAAACTCCATAAATCCTTCATATGTCCCTTACAAACTCATGTTAGGCCTTGGATTAATTTTACCAATCACATGTGATTTGTTTTGGAACCATTTAACATCATTTTCTTGGAAAAATAGGGGTTTACGGCCATGGAGCTATGCTAGGCCATAAACTCCCATAAAGGGGGTCAAATTGATGTTTTAAATCATTCCAAGTCCTTAAACCAAGTCTAGAAATTATCCCCTAAGTGTTGGAAGTCCAAAAAGGCACCATAAACCACCCATCATGAGTTTACGGCCGTAAACTCATGGGGAAGGGTGTTTTGGCCGTAAAATCCCTTAAAGGGAGTGTTCCTTTGATGTCCCAACTCATTTCCCAAGTCCCTTGTGTCATTCATGTCCCTAAACGCCACCCGGGTCCCGCTAAACACTCGTATCGGAGTGTTATCGCGACTTGAAGCAAGTGTCCCTATCATATGAATAAACTAAATCCTAATTAGATACAAATGTGTATCTTTACATCATAATTAGGAACCTCGTGTGTTTACAAGTCCCGGCTTAGCTCTTAGCATCCAAACCGTCTCGTATCTCGTCCGGTGAGTTCATACCCCTACGGCTTTTTCACTGTTTTCAATGTTTTCACGGGGGGAATACAAGCAAACTAAAACTGTTTTCCAATCACAACATTGATGTGTTTCAAACAATCTTTGACAAATCTATAAACTCTTTTACTCCTTATGTAATATGTTGAGTATAAGGAATGACTACTCGATTTCAACTAAATGGATTTTAGTTAAGGAAACAATCAAACTAATCAAATTATTATGGGAATAATTTGGG